TAAACGATGTGCTGATCGTAGAGGCGATGACTTGGTATTGCAATTAACAGAAAGGTTTGGCCTGATTAGCCCTCGATCAACTCTTACTGTGTAGAAAACCCATCGACTGGAACTATGTGCAGTGCCTAGATAGGAGCTTAGATAGGAAGTTGGCGAGTTGTCCGAATCGTGCCGCTCAGGTCCCAAATGCTTCAGTTCATATTGCGTTTGCAAGCTATGTTAGAATAGAGGATCGACTCGTCAAGCCAAGGCTGACAAATGTGGACGAATTTGTTGCCGTCCATGGGGCGACGCCTTTTACAACGATTCCGTTCTTTAGTGTCTCCCGCAGCCTGTAGATGACTTCTGGATCACTGCTTTTTTTGCTTGGGTCTTAAGAACACCTGTGGTTTATAGCAGTTCTAGCAGCCGGCATTTGGCTTAACGAAGGCTTGAAGGTCTCTTATTGATACGCATTCGTTCTATGCAAAGCCTTGTAGCTACTTCTTTAAGCTACTATTCATAAAATGTTCGCCTTTCGAGGACTGACACATGCTAGATTAACCATGCCCTTAGAAGACAAACCAAGGCATATTTCCGGACCCTATGCACATTATTGACTTGACCATAGTGCCAGATCTAGCCATTGCACTACTTCTCGATTGGACAGACGACAAAAAGTTCGTTGATGAGAGTAGCCGGCAACTACGCTTGCAAAGATTGGGCGAGGACTATCGCTCTTGGGTCGGCAACTCCAGCGACCGGGCCAACCAGAAGTTGTTTACAGTGGATGTGCTCAAACCAGGATCGAATGCATTTGCTGCAGTATCACAGCACTTCATCAGTGCAGCTGCTGCCAGGGGACTGCTTGTCTGGCTGTCAAAGGTCGCAGACCATTTCGCCTCAGAGAACCCAAGCCGTGAGGATTTGCCACGCGAGCGTTGAGTTAGAACGTGATTTCAGGGAACTAACTTAAGATCGTTTGTTGTGTTTGTCCTTGCAGGATTGGGTCATCTGCTGTGCATGTGTCAGGCTACGAGCAGGGCTTTGTTCGGGGCTGCAAAAGATGCAGCATGTGATGATGACCAATGAGAAACTGGGCTTCTGATATTAGCGTTGGAGGGAATTAGCATCGAACTTCTTTTTTCGTGACTAAATAGTCAGTTCCATCCGGTATGTTATATCACTCTCATGAAAAGTCTGCTTCGAACGCTCAGTACCCGTGACCTAAGGAGATTGTTGGCAGAACAAGACCGAACCTGCCTCGAACATTATTATGTTCTTTTTCGTTGTGCGCTCAGCAAGCTGGCTGCACACTCCCTGGAAAAGTCCCAGCTCAGATACCACCTTCGACCAAAGGTCCATCATATGGAGCACCTAGTTTACGATCACGCTTGCTATGGGCGAAACTGGCGTTATCACGCTTGCTACTTCGGCGAGGACGTCATTAGGCGCATAAAACGGATGGCATGCAAGACGCACCCTAGCACTACAGGCTTGCGAGTTCTCGAACACTATGCTTTGTTCGTGTGCTTGACATGGGCCGGGCTGCTCGAAGACGACGACTGATGCTAGCAAGCTGCAGAAAAAAGCTTTGATCACTCGCGACCAAAATCCAGAGGCGCAGCAGCGATCATAGCCATAGCTGCTGTAGCCCTGTTTATAATAGGGTTTAGGTTTCCGTTTGCGTAAGTTGTAGATCTCAAGGTCACCAGCTAATGATCGGGGCTCGACCTACTTGAATCCTCTTCATATCTACGCAGGCATCCAATACCCTTCGTTTTAAGACTTCTACGCTGCAACAAACGCTTGATCATAACGATCCTTGCAAGCACTTTGACACTGAGTTCTTAGCGCTCAAATCCTTCAGGCTGCCAGACGGCAGCAGTTTGAACCCGTCATGAAGCCCGAAAGCGTTGTCGCGGCGCTTGCACTTCTAGAAACGTCTTTGTGCTGAGACTGCGGGTGGCGAGAGTGATGGTGATAAGATCGCAAAGGGGACGTGATGATGATGGTGGTGGAGATGGTGGTTTTGTGTTGGTGGTGAGGAAGAGTGGCGATGATGTGTGTGAAGATTAGACTGCTGCATCGCGTGCCCGAGGCACTTCCCTTGCCGAGCCTAGACATATGCCCAATCCTCCACGGCTGTTCGTGTGGGTTGATCATGGGGCTCGAGATGGGGGGCAACTAAAGAAATTCTGAGTTGTTCCCGGGGCATGAACCTAGGATCCAAAGTATCAAGGTTCAACCGTCCAGGGCTTCAGAACTTTCTGGTTGCAGCGTTGTCGGGCTTCAGTACTCATTCTCGTTGTGTGCATCCTGAGATAGATACTGGACGGATCCTTTTGAGTGATGTTTTCTCACGGATTGCGAATGGGGGTTTAGGGTATGGGAACAGGGTTGAAGATTGGAATCTTTCGGTGCTCAGCTTCTAGGAGTAAAGGAAACAAGTGCATCCTCCAGACCCTTACGGAACGCGACCCTGTCACAAGCAAACAAAAGAACCAGTAGTAAAGCCCAATAGTCTATAAACTTTCCAACCCTAAATGAAGATCGTTCTGCTCGCCCTCCGCGCAAGCAGCTGCCAGAGTATTGTATAATTTTCATTGATTTCATGGTTTGAGGCTGGGGGCCAAGGATGTTGGTGGGCAGGTTTCCGTGGTTCGGTGTATGTGTCACAGACCCTCCACAACCCTAACCTCGTCCCAGGAACATGTGTAAACAGTTCTGCAGCCTGGACCCTGTTCTCGAACGCCCTGTCAAAGGCTTGTACGGGCTCCAAAAGTGAAATCAAATATCCAAAGTAGTTTCGTTCCCAGATCCTGTTCTATAGAATTGGGCTTTCAACTGCCGTACTGCATGGCTATGAATGGATCCCAAAGCTTCATTCAATGCTTTAAATAGGTGAACATTCCGACAGCAATCCTCGAAATGTTTGTTCGCTTTGCACACGGATCCTCCGGACAACTGTCTGGCCTCTGAGCAAACCTCGCGACCGGTGTTTAACACGTGCAGCAACCCTCGAAACAAGCGCGGCTTTGTCATGCCGATATTGTGAAAAAAGTTTTTCATATTGCAAATTTGTTGCTTTCAAAGCATCACCGACGTTCGTTAACTTTCGCAGCGGCCAAAAACGTGTCCAAACGTGTCTGCGGCCACGTGCCCTTACCCGGCCGCGTGTCACCGGCCACGTGCCGCGGCACATGGCCGATTAGCCCGTCCTGGTACGGTTTCGGTTTTACGGTTTCGGCTGTGGCCTTGGGCGTTGAAGCTTTATTCGTCTGCAGGATTTGTGCTTTAGCAATGCGGGGGAATGATTTTGGGGTTTCGGCTGTGGTAGCGACCGCAGGCTTTCGCCTTTAGTTATTTAGGGGTTTGAAAGCTTTTTTAGGTTTCGAAGTCTTGAGGATGTAGTCTAAGAGTTTTTCTGCACGGTTTCGGCCATTTTGCGGTTTGAGCGCTTCGGCTCCAGGCGGGTTTGGGCTGGTAGGGTTCGGGATTTAGAGTTCCGGCTTTAATTTTGAGTTGGGGCTTTGAGTATAAGCCATTGAAGGTTCGGGGGAGGGTTCAGTTGTTCTCTATATATGATAAGATTGAAGTGATTACATGTCAGTGCTCGTTAATGTGAGAATCAAAAACAAAAAGTACTGTCGTAATTTTAGAGGGGTAGGTCATGTCAAAACCGTGCATACAACTCACGTAAAATTCTTCGATCCGCATGTGCTGACCTAGCAGCCCTAATTAATACTGCGACTACTAATGAATTTATTACTTGTGCTGTGATAGCAGCAGTGGTAATGGAAATCGGGGTAGAAGGACTAATGAAAAGCTACTATTATAGTCGTAGTATTGGTATTAGTTCTTACTTACAAGTGTTTTTAGTAGGACTTACTAGTAGTAGCAGTGGTAGTAGTAGTGCTACTATCACTACTACTACTACTACTACTACTACTACTACTACTACTACTACTACTACTACTACTACTACTACTAGTACTACTACTACTAGTACTACTACTACTACTACTACTACTACTCCTACCATTACTAGTACTAGCTAGTACTAGTAGTCATGCTAGTACAGTACAAGTACGAATTATAGTTGGATTCTGTGAAATACTAATGCTACACTAGTACTACGACTACTACAACTACTACAACTACTGCTGCTAGTACTTGTACTTGTGCTGGTACTAGGAGTACTAGCAATAGAAAGAGTACTACTGGTCGTCGTATTACTCGTATTGCCAGTCGCTACCAAGATTCCAACAACAACAACTACCACTGCTAGTGCTGCTGATGAATCAAACTAGCACTTGTACTACAATTATTACACTACTAGTAAACCTGCTACTACTGCTACTACTGCTACTGGTGCTAGTACTACTTCTGCTACTACTACTACTTCTGCTACTACTACTGCTACTACTACTACTACTACTGCTACTACTGCTACTACTAATAATAACTAACACTTCTATTATCACTGGTGTACGTACATACGAGTACTACTACTGCTACCTCTACTTCTGTTGTTCCTGGTTGTATGTACAAATACTACTAGTCGATCTACTAGTATTAAGCTAGTACCACCTGTACTACTACTACTACTACTACTACTCTACTACTACTACTACTACTACTACTACTACCACTACTACTACTACTACTACTACTACTACTACTACTACTACTACTACTACTACTACTACGACTACGACTACGACTACTACTGCTACTACTACTACTACTACTGCTACTGCTACGGCTACTACTGCTACTACTGCTACTACTGCTACTACTGCTACTACTGCTACTACTGCTACTACTGCTATTACTGCTACTGCTGCTGCTGCTACTACTACTACTACTACTTCTACTACTACTACTACTACTACTACTACTTCATCTTCGGGGAGCAGCCGAGGTTCAAAGACATAGTCGGCAAGCCGGGGAGTCGACCCAAGTGGCCAAGCTTCAATGCACAGTCGCTTGCAGTGAAAGTCGAAGGCATCCAGGTCATGACCTCGTGCGACCAGTACGACACCCGCTGGTGGAGAACCGCCCTTCTGCTCCCGGGCATGGTTGTCAAGAAGAAAGGCGTGGCGGACCTTTTCATGGTTGCCGGTCGTTATCCCGATCGAGCTGCTGCGTGCCTTTGGCCTCTGAAAAAGTTGACCAACAAGGTCTTGGCGCCCGAGTCGATCACCCACAAGAGTCAGTTCACCTGGCAGTGTGTCCTCAATGTGCTGGACTGGCAAGCAGTCGAACACGAGATCATGAGCCCATTGCACATGTTTCTTACGGACAGGGCGCTCCGATCCAGGGCGGATCTGCAAGGCCGTGTGCTGATCAAGCAGAATGGAACCATGCCCCTCCTCACCTACTTGGCCAACAAAGGCTTCGCTGGACTGCCGCTGCGGTTGGTCAAGCGGATCCGAAAGGCTGGAGTTTCAAATGCCAAGTCCTGTCAGCGACAGTCCATAAACATTGGTTGGTACTTACAGACTTTGGGCTTGGTCCTGTAGCGTCATGTAAATCATTTGCAGGTCTAACAATCTATGCACAACTAGGTAGGGACCTCATGACCACTTACTTAAATAAATTGAGACAGAGTCTTCGTAAGTTGTCGGGGAAGATACTTGATACAGTTCCAACTGAAAATAAAATAAAATAGGAAAGACTGACTTCTGATAGTCAGATCAAAAGAGAACGATAAAGAATAATCAGACGTGAAAAGCAGCAGCATGCAGCGTCTAGCCTGGGGTGTTGGATATTCGGCGCTTATTTTAGGATATAATATATGTGGCAGCGTGTCATTTTTCTCAGAATAATTAAGTCTCGGTCAGTCCGCATGTCTGAGAACTGAATGATTTTCCGTCCTTTCCGGAATACAGGAGCTCCTGGGCCATGCAGTCGACACCGACGGGGGCGAGGGGGATGCGGATGAGGAGGCAGAAGCAGCTGCTGATCCGGCTGATGAGCTTTGCGAGAATGTCTGGGCCACCGTGACGGGAGCACTGGAGTGCGACGATGCTCGAGCGGCTGCAATTCTGGAAAAGTCGGTTGCGCTGCGAGGTCCAGACAGCAAGTACTTCGACCTCTTGTGCTGCGACGAGGTCCAAGATGCCTTCAAGGACGACGACTACAAGGACATGGCGAAGTTTCTCGAGACAGTCGAGAGTCGCCAGAAGGCTGAGCGGTCAAAGTGGCAAAGTTTCCGGTGGTTCACGAGCTAGGGGTTTATTCACAGTGACAGGGTTGTTCAGAGACTGGACCCTGCAAGCAAAGTAATACTAATAAAGACTAACAATTATAATTGCCATTCCTTTTAAATTAAACTATAGTTAGAGCTTCTTGTGTTTAGGTCGAAGCTCCCAGGTGCGTAGCAGTTCAGTGGAAAGACATGAGCCCACAACCCTGCCAACCCTTGGACTCAGGGTGAAGATAGCAGGGCAATGACCTGAAAAGTTTGGTGGTTGCCATGTCCCCAGTTAGCGACAAATAGTATCATTTGTGTGCTGACTGATTTCATTTTAAATTCGGGGCTGCTTTCCGTCTGCTGCTATTTACGGCGTCCCCAAGCAAATCTGGGTTCCAGCGCCTTTCATTGAGTGGCAGGCCCGAGCAGAAATTGAAATAGTCCTACAGTACTCCTACTAGACTTGCACTGGCTTGTGGCGTTTGAAGAATACTACGATTACTCCTGGAACTCCTGAACGTACTACTACTACTGCTGCTACTACTCCTGCTGCTGCTGATGCTACTTACTGCTACTTGACCTACTACGACAACAACAGACAACAACAAGGACAACAACAACAAACTACTACGACGACTACTACTACTACTACTACTATCACTACTACTACCACTACTACTACTACCACTACTACGACTACGACTACGACTACTACTACTGCTACGGCTACTACTGCTACTACTGCTCCTACTGCTACTGCTGCTACTGCTAGTACTGCTACTAGTGCTACTACTGCTACTACTGCTGCTACTGCTACTGGTACTGCTAATACTACTACTACTACTACTACTACTACCACTGCTGCTGCTGCTGCTACTACTACTACTACTACTACTGTTGCTACTACTACTACTACGACTGCCTATTACTACTACTACTACTACTACTACTACTACTACTACTACTACTACTACTACTAATACTAATACTAATACTAATACTAATAATAACTACGACGACGACGACGGAGGACTAGTGCTACTGCTACTGCTACTGCTACTACCACTCACTCTTTGGTCTTCGGATTTCAGCTCTTGGGGGTTTTGGGGTGACGGTTACTTAATGAATAGGTTCGCTTCGTTTTGAAAAGCGACTGCACCTGCCCTTCGCGCAAATTCTTCTAAGTTTCGTACATGAGGCCTTGAAGGCGCCTATATCCTAATGCACTTCTGAGCCCAAGGCCGTGCTATCAGCAACCAAGCAAGAAATTGATCCTGGCACACTATTTGCTTAAGCCAGCGACGCAGGTCCTCGACTCGCTCAAATCGGCGATCTTGGCGACCAGATCCAAGTTGAAGCCGGCCCCATCCAAGAAGCCTCGCAAGGCGGTGAACATTGCCGTTCATCAGGAGTGGACCGAAGAACAGGCCAAGGTGCTCTTGCCACCACATGCTTCGATCCGCCGCGACAAGTTCAATGGCCGGTGGCAGGTCTTTTACGGGACTGGACCAGCGGTTGAGCGCTGGTCCAAATCCCGCTCCTGGGGCATCGCAGGTGGGACCTGGGACGGAAAAAGGGTACATTGCAAACATAGACTTCAGTACTACTTTCAGGAATAGATCAGTTACTTCATCGTGCTTTCTCAACCAGAACAGGACTCGGAGTGGATTCGCAATTCTGGGCATTGATACTGAGACTAAATGACCCCAGGCAGCGACGATGCGGCTCTTCGCTACGTCCTGAAGCATGTCTGGGGCCTGCACCGCGATCTCACTGGCGAGGAGTGCTGGGTTCGAGACTTGTGACAAGTCGCTCAAACTGGCGAGTCGACACCTGCCCGTCCCAGCCGCGAGTCGCCCAAGCAGAGCTGTAGTCGTCTGGGCCCCCCAAAAGAGACAACAACTAGGACACTAATTCCCTCCTAAGTGAGCCGAAGAGTAGTAGGGATATGCTTCCTCGCAAGATGCTTTTGCTTCTGCTCTTTTGGGACCCCTGCTGCCTATTGTGAACCCGCCAGTCAGTCGCCCGGGAGGAAAAAGCCGGCACGTTGAAACTGACTACTGACATGAGTGACGGAGCTAGTCGCCAGATGCATGCCGGCACTCGCTTACATATTGATTGCTTGCTAGATGTCTTCCGATTGCAGCATGGCACGTTCACTTTGCGCCAGGCCTCGCAGACATTCATCCGGAGTGGCAGCAGACGAGCAGCCAGCAGCAGCCGTGGGAGTCGGGATGTGTCTTGGGGGCGGGGAGGGTGGGAGTCGTGCGTTTCAGTGTCTTCCTCTGCTTGCTTGCTGCTGGTGCGGTCCTTACACCTCTCTTGCCGTTTGTCCGGAAATAATAAAGAGTCAATGTTTTGGAGTAGTCGTCCTACAGGACGTCGTCCGTAAGGACGCGACCGGCATGGGGTCGAAGTCTGTATTATGCAGTCGTCCGACAGGACGTCGTCCGTAAGGACGAGCGACAGGTCGAATGATATTTATCGTGTACTTTATACTCTCTAGCCGCTGTTATTTCTTTTTGCTATTGCCTTCGTCCTGGCTTTTGGAGGTACTCCTTTTATTTACTCCTACCTGTGCACCCCGTCTGTCAATGCGGGCTCTAATAGTCTAAGGAAGCTTCAAGAAAAATAAAGACACTTTATTATGCCGTGAACTATCACACCCCCAATTTCTCCTTGAAGCCCGTGTCGCCTTCTACCCAAATCTCAAAAGCTTAAGCTAACCCCTGAGCCCTCAATCCCTTCAAGAGGAAGAGGGACCCCACAACCATATTCCAGGGGTCAAAGAGCCCAGAAAAACAAGCCAAGCGGCAGCACGACCTGAAACGTAGCATGTGCTGCTGTCTTATTATTTTATTGAGCGTGTACTATGGATCCTACTACCATGTAAACCCAATATAGCACCAAAATGCAGGCTCTGTAATCCTGCGACAGAAGTAAGTAACATGTAAGCCGTCAGCCTGTACTGTACCCAGTACTCAACTAGAAGACAATTGGCCCGAAAGCATCATCAGCGAAGAGTGTGGGGCTATGTGATAGATCCAGTGTATAGGATCGTAAAGTCACAGAATCAAGAGTCATAGAGTCCATGAGTCATGAGTCATAAAGTCATAGAGTTGCAGTGACATAGCGTCATAGAGTCGTAGTGAGATAGAGTCAGTGTATAGGATCGTAAAGTCACAGAATCAAGAGTCATAGAGTCCATGGGTCATGAGTCATAAAGTCATAGAGTTGTAGTGAGATAGAGTCACGGAGTCGTGGAGTCATCTTTGTACCATACACTTGACTCGATGTAGTTCACTCTATGCCCTGTGTGTGGGAACGCTTAATCAAGATCCGCCTAGCGTGAGGGCTCAGAGCCTGACTCAACAGGTCAAGTGGCAACTTGTCAGAGGGATTGGCAAATGCATAATATATGGATACTATACATATAAATATATATATATATATATATATATTATATATATATATATGGAAATGTGCCTGGCCAAGAACTGGCCACTCGTCCTTGGCATTCCTGCCTCTCAAGTTATGAAGGGTGGAACGCCTCACATCGTCCTCATTGTACCAGCGGAAACACCAGCTGCAGAAAATGGCGTTATTGCAAGAAGCTTCACTGACTTCACAATAATAGAGCTGCGAATGAGGACAGAGTCACAGGTGACTGACTGGTCTCTGATCAGCCATGGCACATCTTAAAATCTTCCTGAAGACTTGGCTTTTTTTACACACACGCACATTCTTCTCGTGTTTGGGTCGTTGCTTGCTTGCTCTTTCGCAAGACAGCGTCGAAGCAAGCAAGCAACGTCCCAAAGACCGGCATCGGAGAGGCGGCCTGAGGAGGTGCCGGGAGAGGTCATCCCAGGGATTACGGTGGTCCGGAGCCTCGTGAAAATGGCTGATTGTAGTTGCAAAGGTTCGTCGGGAGCCCCGAGCCTCCATAGCACGCATTATACCAAGCCAGGGTATAGGGGTATAGTATCATGGAAGAAGAAACATAGCGGCAGCTGACAAACATCCCCAAACGGAAGCCGCAACACTGGTCTCTGAAAGGAGTCGGGAATTAGGGTTTCGTTCTTCATCTCAAACCACAAAAGGCCAGCGTATGTTACTTAGCCGATTCAACAGACTCCAGGGGAACGCCAGGGGCTTGTGGGTCCTTAGGCCTAGTAGTAGGACTAATGCAGGGATCACGGTGGTCCAGAGCCTCCTCTAGAAAGATTGATTCTAGCTGCAGACATTCATCGAGAGCCCCAGGCTTCGGTGACACCCTGTGTATCAACCCAAGGTATACTATCTCAGAAGAAGAAACCCGGCGGCATCTGGCAAACATTCCCAAGCGGCAGTCACAACACGGGTCTCTCAAAGGATGATTAGGGATTTAAGATCTATCCTATACCACAAACGGGTCCACCTCGCTGAGCTGCTGCGCGACTCGTGGCACCGGGAGTCCAGCAGCGAAAGGCAGTGCAGCCATTCGGGATTTGGGAAGACACCGTTCCGAAGTGAAACACCCCACTTCACTAGGAAACCCGCCAGATGCCGCAAAGTATTTAACGTGCCACGCAATCGAGGAGCTCCTGCGTCTCGATGAGCCTTTGTCTGCTCACAGGACGTCTCGGCCAGGAGGAGAACACCGAGGCATTGGGAATCACTACGCTTCCGCCGCACCAATGTACCAATGCGAGCACTTGAAGTTGCCGTTGACGGTTCGCCCATCATAGTTCTCGCTCGGCAGCCTTCGATTGTCAATCGGCCTGAGACGCCCACGGTACCTCACAACTTCATGGTGCACTCCTGCTCCGTTGACGGATCCATGTTCTTCATAAATGCACGCTTCGTGCAATGCGTTGTCTCTTTAGCACACAAACACACACACACACACACATACACACATACAACTGGTTCGTGGGAGTTCGCAAGATCAAGTGAGACCACAGAAGCCTTCGATTTGACTTCGATCTATGCAGAACAACAGACCTTACACTGCATCACGAAGCATTTCGGAGTCGGGTTGGGGGTGGAGAGCCAGCGCGGGAGGAACCTGGACCTAGACCGGATTACTCTTCCCAGGCGACCCTCCCCGGCCTTCGTCGTCAGCATCGGAGAGGTGGCCTGGGGAGGTGCTGGGAGAGGTCATACACGGCGTACTGTGTGGCGTGGTGTGCCGGGGGGGAGCGTGGGGTGGGACGGGGTTGGGTGGCGGGAATGTGGGGGGGTTGTGGGGGGCTGTGGGGAGGTGGGGAAGGGTGTGGGGGGAATGTGTGCGGACTGTAGGAGCCTTGTGAAAATGGCTGGTTGTAGGTGCAAAGGTTCATCGGGAGCCCCGAGCCTCCATAGCACGCACTGTACCAACCCAGGGTATAGTATCATGGAAGAAGAAACATAGCGGCAGCTGACAAACATCCCCAAACGGAAGTCGCAACACTGGTCTCTGAAAGGAGTCGGGAATTAGGGTTTCGCTCTTCATCTCAAACCACAACAGGCCAGCGTATGTTACTTAGCCGATTCAACAGCCTCCAGGGGAACGCCAGGGGCTCATGGGTCCTTAGGCCTAGTAGTAGGACTAATGCAGGGATCATGGTGGTCCAGAGCCTCCTCCAGAAAGATTGATTCTAGCTGCAGACATTCATCGAGAGCCCCAGGCTTCGGTGACACCCTGTGTATCAACCCAAGGTACACTATCTCAGAAGAAGAAACCCGGCGGCATCTGGCAAACATTCCCAAGCGGCAGTCACAACACGGGTCTCTCAAAGGATGATTGGGGATTTAAGATCTATCCTATACCACAAACGGGTCCACCTCGCTGATCTGCTGCGCGATCCGTGGCGCCGGGATTCCAGCAGCGAAAGGCAGTGCAGTCATTCGGGATTTGGTAAAAACACCGTTCCGAAGTGAAACACCCTACTTCACTAGGAAACCCGCCAGATGCCGCAAAGTATTTAACGCGCCAAGCAATCGAGGAGCTCCCGCGTCTCGACGATGGCCAATCCCTGTGGAGACTTGCAGACGGTGCCACCCCTTGTGCTAGCGGCGCTCCACAGGAACCATCATCCGCGCCATCGCGGCTGTCATCATTCTGATACCACCAGAGCAGGTCCAAGCCTCCAAGCGGCCACATTCTGTGGCGAGGCAGCCAAGATGACTGCAGGGCAGAACGTCAAGAGCCAGCTTCTCGTTTGGCCAGCACGACGGCCTCGCGGGTTGGACAAGCCGCGCATTTGGAGTAGTGCTGCCTAGGCGAACACAACGGACTCGCAGGTTGCTTGCACAGGCCGCAGGCACCGTCCCGCCAAGACAAGCCGCGCATTTGGAGTGGTGCTGGCTAAGCTCGTCTGAAGGGTTGCAAAGTGTGCCATCTCAACGGCGACTTCTCAAGAGGAAGAACGGATCATTCAAGAATCCAAACAGTAGCAGTGGGCAACGAAGCTAAACCGGGACACCGGGTTGAGCAGAACCCCGAAGACCTCTCGGCCACACAACGGAAATTCTGAACTTGAACCAACCAAGCCCAGCAGTCCGCAGTGGGAAACTCAGGAAATGAAGAGGTTTCTGTTAGACCGACCCTCCCAGCCTCGAGGAATCCAGAGCGACCGGGCAGTGCAGGCAACCTCAGGAGCAGGGTTGCCCCGCCCAAGCAGCCGCACTTTCGCAAGTCGCGGCGCCAGAAACAACAAACAAGCACACATACACACATACAACTGGTTCGTGGGAGGTCGCAAGATCAAGTGAGACCACAGAAGCCTTCGATTTGACTTCGATCTATGCAGAACAACAGACCTTACACTGCATCACGAAGCAT